TGGAAGCTCAAAATTTTGGTTTTGATGTGTTGTGAAAACTTCTTGTTGGTTTTATTTATTTATTTAATTTTGAAAACAACCACTATACTAAACGAATTTGAGTCTAGCATTAATTTACAATCAAAACTGAAGGCCAAAAACAACTAGGATAGGTCATAAGTTGCTTCTCCATGCAAAAGATGCATCCATTGAGGTGCGATAGTAGCCTAACTTATAAACATAAGATGTCAAACCTCCCTAGAGCAAATTTGATGTGGGATTCTTCACATGCCAGTGATATACCCCTCAAATCCAGTCCCAAACATCTTTGTCAGGTCATAGGTGGGCCCTAATGTAATGTCTCCATATCCACAGAATAGTATCACTAGGGTGGCTCTGACACCACATGTCACAGGCTGTGTATCCACTCAAAAGATGCATCCATTGATAAAGAGGTGTAAACCTGACTTAAAAACCTAAGACCTCATTTGATGTGGGGTTTTGCACATGCCTGTGACAGAATCCCCTAGTTTTATCCCCATTAACCTTGCCAGGGGTTCATAGTTGAGCCCCAATGTAGTGTCCCCATACGCACACAATAGTCCCCCAGGGTGGCTATGACATGATGTGTTAGATGATGTGCCTCCGTTCAAAAGATGCATCCATTAAGGGAGGATAGCAACCTGATTTATAAAAACAAGACCTCTCTAGTACACATTTGACAATGGGCCCATGATTCAAGCATGTAGTTGGTATTATTGAGCTCTATCAATATTTTTTCTTTTTCTATAGTTTAATGATTCATCATTTTTCTTTAGGTGCTGAGCAGTTTCTAAAACTATCTCAGATCTTAATTGGTGGCATTCAATAGCCATTTGAACTCATATAATGTTAATTAAGGCAAGTGGATTTTAAGTTGCCATTTTATGATTAAGAAAGCTTAATTATTGAATTGTTTTGGGTAGTCTATAACAACAAGCAATGCCTACACAATCATCATCATGTCATATATGTGTCTAATATACGAATTGAGCCTTTAATCCTTTACTGTTTAAAGAGAACTTTGAGATTTTGTTAGGGTTGCAAAAAAAATTGACTTTTCTATTTTTCCAGTTCTTTGAGACTTCCATGTGAAAATCTAATTCAGATTTTTCACCATGAAGTCAAGCCACTTGATGTTTTATTTCAATTATGTGCAGTTTCCTTATTATGAGGTTGTGGACTGGGCATCAATGTACAAATTAAGCATTTATTTCTAAGATTTTAAATTGTTTATTTAATAAAATCATAAATAATCATAATGATTTGATAAGATTCAAAATTTTAAGTGTTTAAATATTAAATGAAATTTGATTTAATGACATTGTTCTTTCCTTTTCTTTTCTTTTTTTTTTTTATAGAAATTGTTTGATGTTAAAAGATTTAAATTAAAATTTTTATTTAATTTTTATAAAATTACTAATTATTACATTCAATTTTAATTATGAATAAATTAAAAAATTTGAAAGGTTAGCAATAAAGATTATAAAGTTTATTGATTTAATATTTAGATAATAATTATATGTTTTAACATTAAGTTGTATTTCTTTTAAAAAATTTAAAAATGTCATTTTTATATGACTGGTTGAACCATTTGAACCAAACCTGGTGCCCAAAATGGGTCGAGCACCAGGTCGATTCTTAAAACATTGGTTGGAACCAAAATCGAAATATCAGCTTCCATCAGGTGGAATTTTTTTTTATGTGCCACTAAAAACCTCATTGAAATTGCTCTTGGCTTTTTGGTTTGATAATCATTTTTTGTCAGTTTGGTGCTTATCGGTTTGGTTGTAGCGGAGATAGTGAAAGAGAACCACATGTAATGGACATTCGTGATGTTGTTCATTGAAGATAAATGTTCAATATGCAATTTCAATGTAAATTACAGGTTAAACATCTTTTCATGAGAAAAAAATGTAACAACTATATAATTGCTTTCCTTGGTGGATAAAGCCTCCCACATCTTAGCCCATCTCATATGAGGATACATTTTTTCTATTTGGTAGTTTGCTTGCTCATTTCTTCATACGGTAATCTAGGAGAAACTATTTTATATAACAAATTGTGGTGAATTACATTCTCTCAAGTTGTATGGTAAAAGATAACTGCAAATGTCATTGATTTGCTTGATCTGCAGACTGCAGCCAAATCAATTTGCTTTTACATGCAAATAATGTTATGTTTACTAGAATCTATATAACCAGTTAACCACTCTTAATTTATTTAGCATTACAAATGTACTCATTTCTTGGCGGGAATTGACCCATTTGTATAGGGTTGATGAGAAACTGGTGATTTGTGGGACCTACCTCAAGTTGCTGTTGATTCTCTTGGGGCTGCAATGCTGGTAACCATAATAATTTATTTATGGCGCATATTTCTGGGACCTATTGTTCCACAACCAAATACAAAATAGTGCCTTCCACCGAGACTACCATGGTTTTTTGGACATGGGCATGGAACTTTATAAACTTTTTTGTAAAAGGATCTTGAGTTCAAATCATCACCAAATAAGCACTCTTGACTTGTGTTTTTTAGTTGATAATGTAATAGCAGCTCTAGTGGTATGTTACTGTAGATATGTTGTGTTTTCTTCAAGCGTTAACTAGAGCAAGTAGGGACTTGTGTTTCCTGGCTAGGTACCTTTTGATAGTTGATGAGTTTTTATTGTATATTTTTTGGTGGTTAAAATTTGGAATTATCATCTAGCCAAACACATCTTGGGTGAAATGAAATGCATTTATACAAGATGTGTTGGTTTTGGTTGATTTTATTAGCTCGTAGTTATGTACATGTGTGCATGTGGTTTTTTTTTTTTTTTTTTTTTTAATTTAGAAGTTGATTAAGGTGTTTGGAAAGATATTTTTAGCGGCTAATTTAAAACTATTGAATGGTAAATAACAATTATTTTATCAATAAACTGATACAACCATCAGCCATTGTTAATAGTCAAATCAAACAGGATCGTAAATGGTTGTTTAACTAGGGCTGTTAACTAGTCTAGCCAAGTACTTAGATACTTGAGCTCCCTTCATGTTTATGGTCGAATATTTAATTAGTTCAACATGGTTTGATAATCAATTTCTTCGGTTTGGGGCTCATTGGTTTTGGCTACAGCCAAGATGTAAGAGAGAAATTTAACATAAAATTATAGGTTTGCAATTATAATATAACATTAAATCAGTATGATATGATATTAAACGAGTTGATGCAATTAATATTATGGGAAAACCCTTAAATGAAAAAGTATTAATTATATAGTGACACATTATGTTGTAAGTTTACAATATTACATGATATTGTAATTATAACATTTTCTGTATATGTTGAGTAATCATATTGTTGTTCATTGGGGATGAATGTTCAAAATGCAATTTCAATGCAAATTATTGGCCAGTCATCTTTTGATAAAAAAAAAAAAAGAATTGTAAGAGTTATATGATTGCTTTTCTTAGTAAATTAACAGATGTAACACTCAATTTTGATAATAGTTTTTTAACAATTATTCTTTCGAAACTATACAAAATTATTATTGTTTTATAATTTTAATATTCAAAATTCTTTTAAAAAAGGCAAGGTTGGATTTTTATCCCATTCAACAAATGATGGGAAAGGAAAAAGATATCGATGGCAAATGAAAAATGTTTCTCTCGCTTTCCTCTACTATTCTCTCACCCCTTTTTACTCAAGAAGACGATCTTCTTTACTGAAGTTCAAGAGGATCAAGGATATAGCAATGGATGAAACCTAAAATTGTTCTCGAAGTTTGAATGGAGGATATAACCTCCCCTCCAATAGGGTCGGCTATAGAAAAGGGGAGACAATCTACTTAGGCTTCCCCAACTATAGGATCTTGTTGTACCTATGATTTTGATGATTACAAAACACATTTGAGTGACTAATTGGTTTATTTAAGTGTGTAGTTAAGTTGCTAAAAGATTGCAAGTAAACTTGGACTGCACTAAAAATAGACCAAAAGGATTGAAAATGTGCAGAGAGCCAGCTCTTAAAAGCTGCAACCGACTCTGGTGAAATGGAAGTGTTGAAAGTTGTAGCCGGCCTATGGGTAAAGATTTAAAGGTCCTTTGTTTGGTGCGCGCAAAGAAAAGACGTAGTGCCGGCTCTAACTTTGCAACTGGCTGTAAGGGCGCATTTAATGCACAACGGTCGACTTATTTGAAGAATAATTAATATTTTTTAAAGTCGGAACACCAAAGCCGGCTCTAGATTTTTTGCAGCCGGCTTTAGGTTTTTTGCAGTCGGTTGTGGAAGAAAATAGAATGTGCAGTAAACTCGCAAAGCCGGCTTTACGTTTTGGAGCAGAATCTACGAAAAAACAGAATGTGCAGAATCCCGCAAAGCCGGCTATAGAAATGGTGAGCCAGCTGTATAGAACCGGCTCTAGGAATTTAAGCTAGCTATCCTGACAATCCTACAACTTGAGCTTTGCGTCCTGCAGAGCATTTAATGACCCCCAATGGTTAGAAATGGCTATTTTCGAGCAAGAGGTTATAAATATGGTTGGTAACATATCTGAAGAAGTTTAGAGAGCATTGAATTGAATATCTTTACCTACCTACATGAACTTTAACTTG